TGCGAGGATGTCTCAGGTGATATGTGCCCGACCACCGCGCGCGGCATCTCAGAGCCCAGAAGCGCGATGATTTCTCATGCGAAACGCCAAATCCCGGGCAACTCAGAAACGAGAGCTGTGAGTATCTCTCAGGCCGAACGACCCCGACCAAAACATGTCATTGAGGATGTCTCTGCGCGACCGCCCCCCGACCGGAACTATCCTCTATTACAGCAGCAGCCCGTTCAGCAAGCCAGCGCGCACGGACCCCAAAGAATAGGCTGCACCCACCATGTGCAATGCGCCATATATGCGGTTCGCTATGTGCGATGCACACTATAAGCTGGGACGCCCCGATAGGCGGCTAGGGCGGGCCGAACCAATAATTCCAAAAATTACGTTCCATATCCCATGGTTTTCGAGGGGGGGGGCTGCGCCACGTTTGGACCTTTAGCAAGAGGAACAAGGCTCGGGGGGAAAGAGAATGGGGCGACAGGAAACGCAAGGAGCACCTTAAGGCGGCATAAAAAAGAGGGGCGCCAGAGAGTCTGGAGAAGGTCGAGCGAGAATCTCTCGAGCCGAAAGGAGCGATCCTGGACGCCCGCCCATGTCATTTTTCACCGCTCGCGACGTTTCTCGGAGCGTCCTGGAGGCCTCCCGGGCACTCTGGCAGCCATCCGGCGCGATCTTGGGGCACTCTTGGGCGGACTCGGAGGCCCGGGACCCGCTGGAGGGGCGGACTCGTCGGAGGCCCGGGGGCAGCCGGAGGGGCGTCCCGGGAGGGGGCCACGCCCTATATACAAGGGAGGTTCCGGCCCGGGGCCCGGGGCCCGGGATCTCCCATATATGTATATATATATATATATATATATATATATATATATATCGGAGCTGAAAGGATGAGATGGCAGTGAAACTGTGAGCACCGCACTGGAAAATCAATTTCGTTTTCGTATTCATGTCATGCGTGCGGGCGAGGCGAAGCTGCGTAGGCTGGCAAGAAGAATGAACCATCCTCTGGCTAGGGCGCCGCGTCTCGCCAAAATCCAACGGGTGGTGTCCCGTCGGTGACCCGTCTTTGTCCCGTCGGTGTCCCGACGGTGTCGAGCCGGTGCCCCGTAATGATACCGAAAGTGAGATCGATAGTGATACCGGTAGTGAGACCAGTAGTTAGATCGATAATACAGTAAGATCGATAATGAGGTCGATAGTAAGATCGATAGGGATATCGATAGCGAGACCGACAGCGGAGATCTATAATAAGACCGATAGTGAAATCGATAGTGAGATCGATAGCGAGGTCGATTGTAAGATCGTTACTGATACTGATCGTGCTATCAATCGTGAGATCGATATCGGAAAACGATAGTGAGATCGATAGTGCGATTGATTTTGAGATCGATGGTGAGATCCATAAGGAGATCGACAGTAAGAGCGCTAGTGAGATCGTTTGTGGGAGCGATAATGAGATCGATAGTGAGGCCGATAGTGAGGTTGATAATGAGGGCGATGGTAAAATCGATAAAGATACCGATAGTGCGATTGCTAGTGAGACCGATAGTGAGACCGATAGTGAGACCGACTGTGAGATCGATAATGAAGTCGATGGTAAGATCGATAGTGATATCGATAGCGAGACCGACAGCGGAGATCTATAGTGAGACCAGTAGTGAGATCGATAGTGATATCGACAGTGAGATCGATAGTTATGTTCCGTCGGTGTCCCGTCGGTGTCCAGTCGTGAGATTGCAAATGAGATCGATAATGAGATCGAGTGGGATCGATTGAGGCAGACCTTAGTTCCCCCCCGGCAAATCTCCCCAGCACCCGACAATGGTGCAACCTAAACGTTACGCCACCGATGTGGTGCAACCTACCCCGTGCAGAAAATGCAGTGCAACCTTTGGGCGCAATCTATGTGGAGCAATGTATGTGGTGCGATCGGCATGTTGCAATATAACTGCTGCAACATTTCTCGTGCAATCTGCGTTGTAGTGCAATCTGCAGTTCTGTGGAGCAAGTGCAGCCTTCGCATGAGGCGGCCTCAAGTCGGCCACGGGCGGCGACTTGCCGAACACCCGAAAGCGCCAGCCAATGCATGAGGCAGCCACGAAGCGGGCACGAGCGGCGACAGGCCGAAAACCCGGAACCAGAAACCAGGCCACAAACCGCCCACGAGGCGGCCACGGGCCACGACCGGCTGATAATCTGGAGACGCCGGCCACATATCTAGAAGCCAAGGAGGAAGTCCTTGGTGCAAGCATTGTTTGAGGAATTGGTGCCCGCTGCTTGCGAGGCTTCTCGTTTTCAGATCACCTCGAGAAAACTTCAGAGAGCCCACGCATGCCCACAAGATGGCCTAAGACTGCCCCGTAAGACTGCCCCGAGAGCGACACAGGTACCCCCAAGACCACCCGAGAGCCGCCCAAGATGGACCAAGAAGGCTCCAAGACAGCCCAGACGTCCCAAAGATGGTTCAGCAGAGCTTCTTCGGGAGGCTCCGTGGAACCATCGCGCAAAAGATGGCCCCGAGATGGCTAGTCTCGAGCATCGGCTCGCTGGGTCCGCCTCCCCTGCGCCGCGGGCCGGTGGCGGTCCGCCCGCATCCCGGCCGACATCGCCGTCGCGGCGCCCGCGGCTCGCATCCTCGGGACGATGGGCCCTGCTGGGCACGGACGGCATGGTGGAGCTCGAGGCCCGCCGATGCCTGTGCGGCGACTCGCCGCGTGCCTCCACATACTGGACGCACCTGTGGGCGGTCCGTCCTGCTCGACGTGATGGTCGTGCTGGAGCTCGCGCGCCAGGCGTGGTGCGCCATGGCTCTCGGCGCTGGGGTATCCCTCGCACTGCTGCTGAAGCAGCGTAGGGAGTGGTTGGTGCCCTCCTTCGGCCTGTAGAGACCTCCGAAGTGGAAGGGTCGGTGCCCTCGTGGTTGTCAGCATACACCCTGCGAAATGCTTAAGAAATCATGGGTTAAGAAATTCTCAGTCTCAGAACTTGAATAGAAACCCAAAATTTCGATTCAAATCTTAGGATTTACATTGAAACGTTAAGAATAATCGAGACTCTGGCCGAAAACTTAAGTTTTCTTAAGCATCGCCTAAGGTGTAGGGCTGGTCGGGCTGGAACTGGCCAACAGCGGGCGGCGGCGGCGTGCGCGGTCCCGCCCGTCAGGGAGGGCTGCTGCGCGCTGGCTGGGCCAGAGTTGGAGTTCGTCGAGTTTCGATGCGGCGAAAGGGCGGCGGAATTCATTGCAGGAAAAGGGTTCCTACAAGCAAATAAACATTCTCCTAGTGGACATTTTGACGGACACCGCCAGTCAAGAAACAACGGTTTACATCTGGCGACAACACTCGCTCAGGACAAATACAGACGGGATGCTTGTGTAAATTTCGCGGCGCAGCAAAACATGTTTCCGTATATTTCTGCGCGAAGCCCGCAAGCTCAAAGGCAGGGCAAACGGCGATGTTGCTTAACGGTGATGCTGGGAACCGAAGTGTAGGAAATCACGAACCACACTTTCCTACATTTCCTATATGCGAACAGATCGAGCGACCACGCCACAACGGATTGAATTGTAGGAAAGCGCGAGCCGCGCGTTCCCACACGACCGAAACCTACATCGCCATTACCTACATCGCCGTTCGCCCGTCTACTGAAAGTTGCCATACGAATCTCCCAGCGATTCGTTTTGGCTCGACACGGCTGCCTTCAAGTGCGACGTATTTGTCCACGCGAACGCCACTTGACATTCACGCGCCTCGTTTTCCCAAAATCCACTTGGGGGGTTTCCTCGCAGGTCTGCCTGGCACGTCATTCGAACCCTCTGCCATCCCTCCCGAGCGCGAACGCAACATGAGAAATTCACTGATGGCATGGCGCATAATTCGGGGACGGCTAAGAGGGGGCGTCAAAGAGGGAGGTGCAAATCATGGCCAGTGGCATGTGCGCGGCCCAGGGGAAGGGGCCAAGGACGCATTGAAAAAAGAGCAGGCGCCATGAAATCTGGGGAGATATCATGCCCCCGCCATGATATCCCCCCCCCTAGTTTTCACGCGCCTCCTTGCCGCCCCCGAATACTGAGTGAACCAGAACGGCGCGTGGACGCTCCCTGCATTCCCCCTGCCTTACTCTTCGGCTTGGGAACCGAGGGCGGAGGGGCAGCGGGGGCTGGAGCAAGGCCGGCGCCCCCGTTTGACCGCAGGGGCCCGGGACCCCACCCTCTGGGCCGGAATCGGGCTAATCAAAAGCGGCGTATACAGTGGAGGCCCGACCACAAGAAACCGTCCACAAGAAACCCAACCCTGAGACCCCAGGACGTCCATCGATTTTTGGCGCGGGAACGTCACGCCTTCCGTCGCAAAATCATGGAAACTCAAGAAACCCAGGGCACCCTGGAGGCACGCAGGCTGGTTCTTGGCATGGGTTTCTACTGTAATCCGAAGCGGCGTATAGACCCGATAATGAGCAAATCGCACAGTCCTCCGAAAAGCCGATCGGGCTTGCTCCCAAGACGACCCGAAAGTGTTTGGCCCATCTGTGCGGGACTTGCGCAAACAAATGTTATCGTGCCCTGTCCGACGGACCCGAAAATGAGCCTCACGCTGAACGTTTCTCAACAAACAACATTTTCTTGGCTGATCCCGTTTTCTGCTCCCGGTTGCCCCGAACGCGCGCCAAATATGTCAGCGTTCTCCCCCGGGCGCGGTTTCTGCCTAGCTCCGCGAGTCTCGGGCGAGACTTCCTTGTTGCAGGGGCCTTGCAGTCAGGCGGTTGCGCTGCATCCGCGCGGAGCCGCGCTGCGCAATGCGGAATCAACCTTCGGAGCGCTGATGCAAGACCCGCGCTGCGCCCGCGCCCGCCGCCCGCCTGGGCCAGGGCGAACGCGGCAAGGCGGTCGGGGCCGCGCGGGCGTCGGGGACGAGGAGCCGGCAACTGGCTCGCGACGAGGACAGACCCCGACGAAACGACGGCGACGAGGGTCTGGAGCAAAGCAAGGATCCAACAGCAGTTGTTTTTTTTTGCGACGGAAATATCAAACATAAACGCCGTCTAGCATCTCACTAGCAACACTATTCACCTGACTGTAGGGGCGGGGCGCCAAGCCAGCGGTCTGGTGTGCGAAATGTCTTGGAACTCGAGGTTCGCAGTCGCAACAGAAGACGTCCCGGAAAAAACCCAGGCTGCGGACATGGAGGACTCGCGCGAGTCCAGACAGGGCACGGAACTGGAGCGATGCTTCTTTCCTGCTGCGCTGCTGCGTTGGCACGGTGGCGGGACTTGCCACAGGCAGCTGGATATCTTGGCACAGCTGCGAAAAATTCAGAGCGAGTCCAGCCCGCTCGATGAAGCCAGCAGAAAGTATAATTACTGTATCACATGCCGCGCGCCAGCGATTCAGGCCTTCTTCGTGGAAGACGACGCCTTATCAATGACCTCCGAGATCTTCTCCCCGATCTGATCTGTGATCTTGTACTGGCTGTTCAGCTCGACGACCTTGTCGATGGCCTGAGAAGCGAGCTCGCTGCCAGAAGCCAGGATGGTGCCCAGGGTGTCCTTGATACCGATGTCCTGGTCGACTGATTTGTAAGCATTGTTGACGCCGCTCCAAGCATCATCGATCGTCTTCTTCGTCTCAGGGTTCGACTCCAGGGCGCTCGCGAAGGAATCGCTGATCGTGCTCGTGACCGCATACTTGTCATTCAGGTAAGCGCCGAAGTTGAGCGCCTCGAGGGCGGTGGAGGACACGCCCTTCAGGGCAGTGGATACATCGGATTTCTCCTGCCTGGACAAGTAAGACGACGCCGCGAAGAGGGCGGCCCCGACCCAGACGCCCCCCGTAAGCAGGCCGACGGTGCCGCCCAGGAGGCTGGCCGTGGTGATGGCGTTCTCCTCGGTGACCTTCACGAGCGCGACGGACTTCTCACCCTCCGCCCGCAGGGGGACCGCGCCCTGTCTCGCTCTCAGCTGCACCGGAGATCCAACGAAAGCGCTGCCGGAGCTGAGGGCCACCAGTGCGGCCACGACGAACCCCAGCCCGAGGACAACGGCGCCGAGTGCATGCGTGCGCCGGCCAGCCATCGCTCGAAGAGGGGAGGCCCTGCGAAGCGGCGGGACGGAGAAAAGGCTTCACACGCCCTCCGCCCGGAGCTCGACGGAGACCTGGAGTCACAAAGGCTGCAGATACCTTGTGCACAGAATAGCGCACATGTGAATACACTTGTGCGCACCATCGGAGAAACCATTGGTTTAGTAAATACCTATGGAGCCAAACCATCAGAGAAACCATCGGAGGAACAATAAAACAAAACATCATCATACCATATACATATACATATAGCTATATATACACAGTTGTATACATGCAGACATATACTTACATACATATATATACACACATATGTGTGAACAGCCCCCAAAACACCCATTCTTACCAGCATTCACTTACGACGATGGTGCTGTTTTTTCCTCCTCCTCCTCCTCCTCCTCCTCGTTGTTCTCTCTCTCTCTGCTCTCTCTCTCTCTCTAGCTGCTTATCTCTCTCTCTTTCTCTCTCGTTCTCTGTCTCTGTCTGTTTCTGGCTCAACGGTGCTCCGCCCCCAGCCAAGGGCGAGCAGGCTGATCTCTGGAACCGACTGCACCAAGCTGCCCATTTTCGCTGCGATTTCTTCCGCATCGAAGAATGCCCCAGGCACAAAGGCGAAGAAGCGGTCAACGCCGGTCTGTTCTCAGTCACCGCGGAAGGCTTCAACAGGAAGGCCGACGAATTGGCCATTGGCGCGGCGAATTTCCACGCTGTCTCTGCGGCTCTCTGCGACACCGCCAAACAACGCCTCTGGGTGGCCATGGTCCTCCAGGCCACTGCTGTTACCATCTTTGGCAAACGCACCCGCGTTCGACCCCTGCCACACCGACGGGCTGGCTACACCAACGCTGAGCTCGGGCGGATGGAACCTCGCCCATGGGCTGACCCACGGCTGACCCAACAGCTGATCCCCTGGCTCAAGCGGCCGACGACGCCAACCAAATGATCTCGGAAGAGGACGCCCACCTCGTGCTTCATGGCCTCCCGTCATCCATTGACGGGCCTGGGGATATAGCATCCGAAGAAGACTATGACCCCCTCGGCCGCGGGGGGTCCGTGGACGGCTTCCCTGGACGTCAACGAGCCTCCTCCTGGCGGACTGCCCATCGACGGGTCGCCTCAAGCGCCACCACAGTCGCAGGGCCCCCTCAGGCGCGGCCCTCCCGCGACACCACCCCAACTCCAACCATCCGAAGGGCCCCTGATGTCGCTACTGAAGCCCTACCCCCGCCCCGGGATACAAGGGACACCCACTGAGGCAACACCCACGCCAGAGAGCATGACTTATACAACCACCGCGCGCCACAAGCTGCCACTGACCCGCTGATCCAAGACGCACAGGACGCCCGAGCAAGATGGGTCGACCATCCCGCCCGCATCACACCTTGGTGGCTCCCCGACCTGAGCAATCCGGACTAAGGTAAACAAACGTGGCTCTACTGCGTCGAGGTCCTCTGTGCTCTCCAAACGGCTGCCTTCGTAGCCCTCTACACCGACTTGCAACCATGGGAGGCGGCCGACCTCCAGAGGCGCCACGCGCGCTAAATTTGCGAAGAAGCCTCGGACCGAGGCGACAAGGGACGCCGCGACCGTCATCACCACATTGCCGCGCTCACGGGTCACGTGCTGAACCACGCAATCCAACAGATGAGCGACGCACGCCGCGCTGCTATAAACGCACATTTGGACTGCCTGGACCCCCGACCAGGGCACCAAGGCTGGCCCCGAGCCACTGTGGTCCACCCGCAGCCCGCTGCACCACCCTACCCACCAGAGGATGACGCACCGCACCCCGAAACGGCACCCTCACACGGGCCCGCCCTGCGACAGCGGCGTGACCACACGGCTATGTTCTTTTTCGACGGGCACCACTAGTTCAGGCATGCCGACCCCTTCGCCAATGAAGACGGGTCGAACGATTCCGATCCCACAGGTCCAGGCGACCCGTTTGGCCATTCACCTGGTACTTCCACCGGCGTCCCCCCAGGCGTAGACCCCGAGGGGCCAGCGCAGCACGGTCCCCCGTCGCCCCTCCGACGACGCCGTTTGCCTGGCTCAGCTGCGGCGGGGGAACGCAGCAGCGACGTCTCCATTGGTAACGCCAGCAACTCCTCCACTAGAGACAGAGACCCGCCCCTGTCGACCCCAGGGCCACACCGCCCTGGCCCAGCCCACTATGGCCACCTGCCGTCGGTCGCCACTGCACCCAACTGGCCACGCAGCCTCCCGAGGCTCAGCCTCGGGAGGCGAAGTTACCCCTGCTCTCGCTGCTCACCGGCCAGCACAAGCCCAGGGCCTGACGCATCACCGCGTGGCGACGGTCAGTGTGTCCCCGCGAACGGCGTTAACCACCACCGGCGCCGCGGCTTCGTCAGCCTAGCCCGCCGGCCCAACCGGCCATGCGGCGCCTCCGGACCTGCGCCAAAGCGCGGCATCTCGCGACCCCCGACAAATCAGCGGATGCGAAACGATCAAGCTCTACGGGCCCTACCGCCGCAACCGTGCGTCAACCTCCCGCACGGGCATTCCCTGTGGAGTCTTGGCGGTGACGCCTGGCCGCCGGCCACCGACCCCACCATTTCTTCCAACTCCTGGTCGATTATGGAGGTATTGATCCTCCTCCCACCAGCAGCGGGCTACTACCTGCCTGTCCCCCGTTGCTGCCTAGCCCTATAATCCTCCTTCACCACGAGAACCCAGACCGCTCCAGGCGCGCCCCGCATCGTCCGGGTTCCCCATCCCTCTCGGGCTCTGGCTGAGCGCTGGGGAGTCTCGCCCGTCGTGCGCAGGGCCTGGCACGCCGCTCAAACGGCCGCGCTGGCCCCCCTCCTGTCACAAGAGCAAGCAGGGCCACGCTCAGCCTGCGGCCGACCGCCTGACGCGGCTAGAGCGTGAGTTCGAGCTCGCCCAGCCCCTGTCGGACCGTACGACGCGACAGCACCTCATCACGCTGCGTGATCTTCACGCCTCCGCGCAGCGCCAGGCCTCGCTCGCCCCTTCGACGGCGAGCGTCTCCGCCTCTGTCGCAGCCGCCCTCCAAGCGGCCCAAGCGCTTCTCGCCAGTAGCGGCAGCTAACCCTCACTCCGAAGTCCGCGTGCCGCCTGGCAAGCGTCCACTGCGGTCTCCCCCGCATCGGGTCCTGATGGGTTGCTGGAGGGATGCCGCCACATCCGGCGAGGTACCGTCATGCCAAAGACGGGTGAAGGCTTCGCTTTACCCTACAGGTGAGACTCGGACGGCTGCGAGGCAGTGTCACGACACACCGTTTGCTCGCTTGGGGTGGGGGGCCCTCGCCCTTCCTTGCCCCTCCTCCGCAGGCCGACCGCCCAAAACGGGTGCGTGGGGCCCTTGTAGCCGACAGCAGTGGCCAAACTGTTGCGGGTGCGGCGCGCTTGCCCGCCTACCCGTGAACGGGACTCCGCCCAGATTGTCCGATCTCTCTCTCTCTCTCTCGCTCATGTTCTCTCTCTCTCTCTCTCTCTCTCTCTCTATATATATATATATCCCTATATTGGTTGTTATCTCTTTATAAGTTATCTATTACATCCCCGTTAAGAAAGTTAATTCATCTTGGCTAAAATTGACATGTGTGGGCGCTGTGGTGAGAAGTGGTATGGGAGTGATTCTTCCTTGTGGTTTCACACGGGGAGAGATTCAGAGTTGCCTGGAAGTGACCGGGAGTGATTTCTCTCTTGTGAATTTACGGGGGGGAGATTTTATCCTGAATTGGTTATACTATTAATGCTACCAGGGAGAACCCCAGAAATCTCTCCCGCCAAGCCAGGCCGAAGACTGCCGTGCTAGGAGTCTACGGGGGGAAGGGGGGGCCACTCGGAGACGCCCTAGTCGTCAGTGCTCAAGATGAATAACTTTCGTAACGGGTAAGTATTTCTCTCTCTCTCTCTCTCTCTCTCTCTATATATATATATATATATATATATTTGTTTGTCACAGTCTCTGGCTTTGTCTCTCGCTCTCTCTCTCTCACTCTCTCTCTCTTTCTCCCTCTTTTTTTTTTTCTCTCTCTCTCTCTCTCTCTCTCTCTCTTTCGATCTTTCCGAAACACCCAACGCAATCCTTGTGGCAACACAGTGTCTGCGATGTCAGGGGTGTGGAAGCCCTGTATGTTCATGTGGATGTTTGGGATGTCTTGTACGAGAAGTGAGGAAGGCATGTGTGTTTTTCATTTGGGTTTTGGGAGTTGTGGAATTTCTCCCCCTCCACTGAAAATCAAACCCAGGAGCCCTCCCAGAAACTCCGATCACCAGAAGCCTCCAAAAACTCAAAAACCAAATGAAAACGCATGTCTTCCTCACTGCTCATCCCAGATATCCAACCACAAGGTTTGCGATGTCCGCCAGCGAAAATCGTACCCAAGAGCTGTCCCAGGAGCTCCGATCGTCAGAAATCACAAACAAATCCCAATACGGCCCAAGAGGGCTGAGAAACTGCCCACAGAGGGTCCACTGACAGGGCAAAATTGCCCCACGACGCCCTCCGGAAGCATTCAAAGTGTGACCCGAGACCAAGTTCGCGGCATGGTGGCCCGAGGAACCCCCCAGAGGCAGCCAGAAAGCGCCAAAGACGTCTCCTGCCACGCGCGCGCTTCGCGCGCGTATGTTCTAGTCAGTTCCTCCTCCTCCTCCTCCTCCTCCTCCTCCTCCTCCTCCTCCTCCTCCTCCTCCTCCTCCTCCTCCTCCTCTTCCTCTTCCTCATGAATAGCCTCACCCACTCTCATGGCAGGCAGGCGCAGTCCCGGCGTCGACGTCGTCGTCGGCATCGTCGCCGCCGTCGTCGTCGACGCGTCGGGGGAAGGGGAAGGAGGGAGAGAGGGAGAGAGGAGGGAAGGAGGCAGTTAGGGAAAAACCGAAGCAGGCAGGCAGGAGGGGCAACAGTTATGGAGAGGACGTGAAATTGAAAGAGGGATGGATCAACGGATGAGTAGGGATACCTCTTCGTGTTTTTCGATGTTTAATGTTTTTTTTCGTCCTCCTCTTCCTCCTCTTCCTCCACCCCCCCTCATCCTCCTTCTTCTCATCCGCGTGCTCTGCCTCCGCGTTCCTCCTCCCTTCCTCGCCCTCCTTTTCCCCTTT